AAACAGACAGCATGGCTGGACAATCTATTGAAAATGATTTCTTATGTTATTTACAGAATCAGAAGAGAAATACTTGTTAGTCAAAGACAGATTTGATTCCCAGCACCAACTAACACAATGGTTTCCTTGGAGCAATATATTACTTAGGAACCCTTCATGGTCATTTAAATTAATTGATTCAAAAGTCACTCCGCATTATTTATTGATTATCTACACCAAATGCCAACTTCAGGGTTGGGTTTTCAGTGGTGCATTGAATAAATATGGCTTCTCTACTGCCTTGACCTCTTAGAAATTATCCACAAAGAATAGTTCCCCTAATTTGATGAAATGATTACATTTATAGAGGTAAACAATGAAATGGTTTGATTCAGTCAAGACTCCAGGGCTAGCTTCTGTGAGTTACACCATGGCTGAAGAAAAATAAATAACACTAAGCTCCTGTCTAAAGAACTCACAATCTACCAGGAAGTATTGACCACAGAGCTTGCGTGAGTGAACTATAGCTTGGATCCTTTACTGGATGTATAAAGAGTAGAGAACTGAGTGATATTATCTATCTGAAGTCTCACTAGAACTGATGAGGTGAATTGTGTTAGCTAAGCCTTAGACCCAGGATTACATTTCCCAGAATATTCCAGAAAAGAAAGCATGGACAAAAAGACACAGGTGGAAATTTTCACTTGCATTTCAGAATTTTAAACAATCCTCGTTATCCATGAAATTGCTATCTAAGGAATAGTATCACATCAGTGATATATGAGCCAATAGGTAAATAAGTAAAGTGACTTGTAGTATTATCATAGGAATATTGATCCCACAGTTTAAAGTGAAGTTGTTTCTCTAGTTTAAGCTTTTATAGCATGGAATGGGAATTACAGTGGTCACCAGACAACATGTACATATTTATTTCTATAAATTAATAAAGCACATGAAATTTTATGTTAAATATCTTCAAGGCAACCACTCTTTCCATTAATTGTTATGAATCTCTTTAGCAAATATCAATTCCCTAGGAGCTTTAATTGCTTTCATTACATTTTATTTAAAAAAAAACTTAACTCTTTGAGCCCTTTTCTGCTTCAGTTGAAGTTGCTGTTTTAGAATAGGGCACTGATCATATTTACTTTCTCAGTGCAAAGTGGAAATTATATGCAAAATGTGTTGATTTAATCAACCTTTATTTTTCCTCAAAGTGCATGAACTTTCACTAGATTCCCAAAGGGATTCATGGCCCATAATATCTCAGAAGATCAGAAATTCATTCCTTGTATGTTTGCCAGTTCTCAACATCCTTTAAAAGGCTTTGGTCAGTTGTTATCATCAAAGCATTAGAATTAATTTTAAAATAATCTTCTTATATAAAAGAGGAAAAAAAGAAATTTAACTTCACCACGTAAGATGGTTCTGCATTTTAAATATAAATTAATGTAGCCCGTCAAATCAACAAACTAAATCAGTAAAATCATATTATCATATCAATATACACAGAAAAGAACTTTGACAAAATTCAACAGCTATTTATTATATATTAAAAACAACCTCAGCAAACTAGGAATGGAGTTGAATTTCAAATCGCTAATGCATATTTACGAATGTATTACAAATAACATCAGACTGTATGCTATTAAACTTGAGCTTTTATGTTAACACAAAAAGAATAAATTTCCTCTTTCCTCTTCTATTAGTTTGAGTGTGTATGGTTGTTGTTCCCATCTACACCTGGAACTTTAGTTATAGATTTGAGTTGTAATGGAATCATATCCGGTCTTCTGACAGCTTAGCCAAAACTTTTAACCATCATCCAACTCCCACGCTCTGAAGACTTCTTACTATCAACAATTACTTACTTTTCAGTATCAATAGTAATAAAGTAGGCAAAGATATATAGAATGAAAAATTAAGAAATAAGGTTTTGACAGTGCCATGCTCATCTAGATTGTATTTCTAAATATTCAAAGAACACTTACAGCTTAACAGGAAACAGATTCACCCTAATTAAAGAGTAAACCTAAAAAATCTCAGCAAGTATTTCCCCAAACAAAATTAAAGATAACACATTAATATATGAAAATATGCAGCATCTTAAATGGGAATGTTAATTGCAAGAACTGATGTCTGGAGTCCAACATACAATAAAACCTTCATAACCATCTTCTGGTGAAAAGACAAAATGCCACTACTACACTCCAGAGTTTAGATATTTTTCACACAACAAAGCATGGTCTTAGAGTTAAAATAAATAATCAAGCTCTTTGTAATATACATCATAAAATTTAAAAACTATGTTTTTTGCATGAAATCTCCTCTTGAATGTTTGTTCCTACAAACATTCTTCACCTTAGTCAAAGCTTGCAAAAATCAGTATGTCAATCAACAGGTAAATGAATAAATATATGGTGTTGCACCAAAAGCTAGAATACTATTCAACACAAAACAAATGCCATAGATAGCTGTTAAAAAGAACTGGAGGAAATTTAAGTGCATATAGCAAATAATAGAAGCCAATAAGATGCTAAATGATATTTATTTTAACAAGTGATGCACTTTGAAAGATTAAACTGTATAGAAGATACTGCTCTCTGTGTTTGACACAGTTTAGGGGCAAGTAGAAATAATTAAACAGCACACAGAAGTTTATGTTAGGAAAAATACTTTGTGTGAAAAGATAAAACAACAAACTAAGATGGAATCTTAAGGAAAACTTTGCACTTTAGTTGATTATGATAATCAATGTATGTTACTCAGTTATAACAGATGTGTTATATCCCCCTCATGAGGGATGCTGATGATAGAGAAAGCAATGTTCAAATAGAGACAGGAGGTGGAGGAGATCTATCTATTTTTTCTTTTCTCATAATCAAAATTACCCTCCAAAGAGAAAATCAAAATCAAAACAAACCCCACAAGAATAGCAAACAAAGAAACAACAAAATAAGAAAGCAAAGTTAATTTTATGAGATCTACTATGAACATCTACCAGGATCTATTCTTATCAATACTAATTTAATTACTTTAAATTTTCAACAGTAAAATCTGAGATGTATTATTAATTATTGTATCTTTTCTACCATCTTCCACAACAGAAGCTCTATTTTTGGGCTTCAATACATGTGGGAAATGTGAATAAGTGAATATAATGTTATTTCAAAGTTTGGTGATACTGTGTAAATAAGCAACGCACATGATCAGAAGAACATGTTCATTCTGTGACATATCTTGTCACAGAATATCACAGCCTTTTTAATAAATATACATGTATAATAAACTTTTATTAGCAAAAGATTAATGTGTGTAACTGTTTTGTTCACATAAAAGCAAAATAATTAACATATTTCACTCTGAAGTGATTTTTTAAATTCCATTTTCGTCATTCACAACTCCTTTTTTGTTCTTTAATAACGTTAATTTAGGGTGTCTGAGCTGAACTGACTGCCACGTGGAAGCAGGACTACATTTGAATGCAATCAGCAGAATAGAATCTCTGTGTATTTCCATCATAATTTAAGGCTAAGTTGGAGCATGATAAATGATGCTTGTCCTTAGTCATTTTGTTACTTGAGCGGTGCTATGTCACTCATGTCTTCCCATTGTCCTTTTGAAACTGCCACAGAGGTAGCAAATCTTCACTAAATACACTACTCTATTAAATGTATGAATTAAAAAAAATTAAAATGCTAAAAATTCAAGAGCAGGAAATATAGAAGAAGCTGAGAATACAAGAGCAGAGAGACTTACTGACAACCCTTAGATGCATTCTGCATTGTGTGGTTTAGAAGTAATCGTGTATAGTGATATTCCTCAAAGATATAACAAGTTATGGGTGGTTATATGATTAGATCACAGTTTATCCATCTTCACTCCACCAACACTTATTAAGTATAATGCTCTAGATATTGCACTGGATGTATAGTGAATCCTTACTACTCTGAAGAATGATAGATTTGATGGGAGAGATTGACAAATTTTAATTACAATTACAGTACATGGGAAATGAGATGACTTTCTAGGCAAAGTTGCATGCGATGTTCAATAATGATAAAGAGGCTACACACCTCAGCCATTTCTGTGTGGGTACAAAAGGCCTTTTAAGAGTTGTAGCATGAAAGGTTAACCGATATACTATAAAGCAGCATAAGAAGGAAAGGTTGAAAAATTGCACTCTGGCCTTAAAGAAGTGTGTTTGACCCAGGCATATGAGCTTGAAACCAGAGGAGACTCATTAATGTTCTTAAAGCAAGAAGTACCATAGCAACTCAGTAATGCAGTAATATTTTCTCAGCTTAGAACACTCTTTCTAGTTGCTTGCTTGCTCTGGGTATTAGATTAAAACAGGGAAAGCCTGACAAAAGAGCAATCACTCACATGCTTGATGGAAAGTTGGAAACACAAACTAAACAGATATAGCTTGGTAAACAATATATATATAAATAAAGCCTAGAGTACAGAAGGCACAGTGAAAGAATGAATGTGCTTTCTCCCTGGTGGATGAGAAAGAGCAAGGTTACTCAGTGCAGAACTTCGGAGCTTTGCAAACTCCATCCTGCTAGTAATTCACCAACTGGGTGTGTACAAGCTTATCCTTGAGCAAGGGCAAAAAACACACTTCAGGTTAGATAGGATATTTCTGATTAATATACACCTATGGATTAAAATGGTTTAAATATTATTACATGCTATTATAATCCTGTATGGACATAAAATACAATATCTATATTTTATCCAAAGATTATTGAGTTATTGAAATTTCCTTGTCTATTTTAAATATGGGAAGAAAGAATTACTAAATATTAAAACTTATTTAACTAATCCTAATTGTTAAAAAATTTTACTTATGGTATGTTTGTTTCTGTTTTGATACTATTTGCAGCCTTGGGAAAAGTCATGTATATGCTTTTATTGTTTTATTTTTTGTTTTGTTTTACTTTTGTCTTGTTGTAAACATCGTATACAGAACTACAATAAAAATAAGAAGAGCTATACTAAAGAATTATATTCTTAAGACTATAATTTAGGAATCATTTCTATAGTTCCTAACTAGAGAAGTTCCTCTGATTGAATAGAGAAGCTGAGACCATGAGGAGGTAATGTATATAGTGCTCCTTCCTGAGCATGAAGTTGGCTCTAGGTGCTGCTTCCCTGCAGCTGCTTCCTATCATTGATGATAGTTTTTCTAACCCTTTAGGAGAGTAAGAGGGAGGGAATGCAATCTGAGTGGGAAAAAAGGTACAACCACCGGCAAATATGTATATATACAGATACATATTCTTTTATAGGATAAATATGTTCTCCATTTTGAAATTTACATTTGGAATATATAGCCTGGACTAGTATTTGTTGTTACTGTCTGTCCATTTGATATGATAGCCATTTTCTCTCTCTAGATAGAGAATTTATAGGTATTAAAATACTTTGTTTTTTTTTTAACTTAATCTACTTCTATTTCTCAGATTCTTTTTAAAAATTCTATCCAGGTATAACAAAAACTTAAATCTTGCAAGTAAATGTATGGAACTAGGAATGGTCGTATTGAGTAAGATATCCCAGGCTCACAAAGGTAAAATCACGAGTTTTCTTTTACCTTAGGTTTTGAGTTTCAACTTTTTGGAAAATTGAAGTTACTCTAATTAGGAAATTGGAGGGAAATAAACAGAATAGGAAGAAAAAGGAAATTAAATAACAGTAACTGTTTCTGAGAAAATCATATGGAATCATACTATGAAGTATCTACCTTAAACAAACTATGTGTGCATATTTATACGTGGTCTCTACATATATGTAAGACCACGTATAAATATGCACACATAGTTTGTATGAAATTTCCTTATCTGGGCTGACAAAATTACCACCAACAGTAAACAATTATTTGATGAAATTTCAAACATTAGGCATCAGATTTCACTTTTGAGGTGTTCTCAGGCTTGTCTAAGAGACTCTGACAGCATTACATATGATTACTATTACTTTTGCTTGTACCCCAGAGATGTAAGGTAAGTCCCCATAGCTGAAGACACCATAAGCTTCAAATATAGGATTTAGAGGCTCTTGACCTGTAGCTGACCTGAAAGCCTCCTCCCTGTGGACGAGCTTTTGTGAAACCAGTAAGAAAGGAAGAAACAGTTCTAGCCAGCTATGAATCACAACAGTGGCCAGCTTGGTCAGGTAAGGGTGCTATGGTGGCATGCATGATCAAAAGCTCTCTAATTGAATGTAAGACCTGCTCAAGAAGAGTGAAAATCATACTTTGTGTTGATAACCTAGCCTTTTATCCAGAATGTGTTAAATCACAGATCTTAGAGGAGAAACAATAGATGCCACTTTAATAAACCAGTACTTTTCCTAACCTCATTCTAATTACCCATCTTAAACACAATGGATAAATGACAGACCTTTCTCCAGCAAGGAAACTTCTTGTAGTAATAGAGAGAGACCATAACAAATCACAACCAATCAAAACAAAAAGTTATAGAACCCAATCCCAATAGACACATCTACAACACATTTCTTGCACTCAAGACTCAGGGATCATTGCAGTAGAAGGAATAGGACAATTTTAAGAAACAGAATTAGGGTACCCTGCCCTCTCACAGGGCTGGAGAGGGAGGGGGGCGGGAGGAAAATGCCAGGAGGGGAGGAAGCAGAAATTTTGAATGATTTTATTTATAAAGCAATAAAAATTTTAAAAAGATACAGAATCATGAAGTTTGCTGTAAGATTGTATCTCCTATTATATTAGAAACTGCAGTTCTTAAGTATTCACCAGCATGACTGTCTAATCATGAGATGACCAAGAACAATAAGAGCACAAATGTTTAAGTGGACAAAGGAAAGCCCAGGAGGCCTCTATATTGCATAAAAATTACTGGCAGCTAAAGGAATGCTGAAAGTGGGAGAAACAGTATTACCCAGAGAAGAACACACCAGTTTGTTGCCCAATATTAAATAAATGATCAGACATTAAAACATACATACAAATACTATTATACATACAGAGTAGGTTGTATTTATGCGTTTCAAATTATATATCTAATTTGAGAAGGTGGATCTCTGTGAGTCTGAGTCCATCCTGGTCTACAAATCTAGTTCCAGGACAGGCTCCAAAGCTATAGAGAAACCTTGTCTCAAAAAAAAAAAAATACTTCAACTCTAAGAGGTTATTCCTTAAAGCTGATTTCTAAACCACTGTAGTGAGGAGTCACTCATTGGCTTCAGATCATATCTAGTTAATCAAGGAAAAGGAGGAATAGTACTGTGCAATCTAGGAAAATATTAGAACCATTCTCAAAATAACAGTGTTCTTCCTTAACCACTTTACCCTGTAAAATCATTCCTGTGATTTTCATCTAAAACAAACTATTAATAAATTCATTCATGTGATTTACTGCCATGACTCTCCTATGGCCATAATATTTAAAAAACTAAGATCTACCCTGTTTTTTACTCAGCATTACAGATAAAGTATGGAAATTGAAAACTTATATAATGTTTGTTATTGCGTATGAAGATTCACATAGGCAATATATCAATCTGACTAAACATCTGTCTCCTATCATCTTTAGATATCTTTAGATGTTACGTATAACATCAGTATGTATAAAACTGAACCTCTTCATTCTAGTGTAATTAACAATTGTGATATGACAAAACTAAGAGAAATGCATATTTCAAATAGATAGAGCAGTCTACAGTCTCAGGATTTTGTTTGATTGCATTGGACACATGAAAAATATGATTTTGTCCCTATCAGAAAAAAAAACAAAAAAATAGTAGTAATAATCTTGCTTCTATTATAAACGAGCGGATTAGGACTTGGATAAGAAATATAAAAATCCTATAGTGTGTAGTCCAGTTTAGAACTGAAAACCTGGAGTAATATTTGTAGAATTTAGCCCAGATCAGGTAATAAAAAAACTTATTGAATTTATTGGTAAATAAAATATATTTTTAATATTATGAATGAAGTAATTTACTTTTATCCTTGAAATATTTAGTTATTATGAGTATGTTTCCTCCTTTGTTCCCTTTACCCATTCTTTCCTGCCCAGAAGTTACTTGCTAATATAAACAGTCCAATTAAAAAAAAATTGTTGTGCTGTGATTCTTAATGGCTACATCTTCATACTATTTTCTCTGACAAGCTCCCCCCTCTGGTTACATGCTACAATAGGAGTGCTAACTCAAGGATTGGACTACCCCTCCAATCAATGCAATTAGAAAGGAAAAATGTGAACAAAGTCCTTATAAAGGATGTGTTCCATTCTATTTTTCATTATAAATGTGTTCAAACAAATATAGGATAAATGGATGACATTGGTACATATACCCAAGACAAGTTATTTTTTCAGTTTTACTTTCAATCTAACATGAAACATTTCTGAAAAGGGGAGCTGAGGTGAGTTTTTGCACGATTCAGGCAGTCCTAAATCTGTGACTTAATATCACTGAATAGCATAAAATTCTCACCTGATACAAACATTAAGTACATTTAATGGGTTTGTTGTAGTCATTAATTATTACAAGAGCATGAATAGAAAATTATAATGAAGGGTAGTGTAATGTCTACATTGTCCAAATATGCTACCAAATGGAATGTGAACATAGTAAAAATGAGATAAATTTCCCACTATAGCATAGCACTAATAGCAGAGCTGCAGCATGTGGACTTTGGAGCCTAAATATTTTGAACCTGAGTTCATATGGGTGAACTCTAAGCAGGGTTAATCATGGGGAAATAGAACTTAGAAGAATGAAGCAAACAATGTGACCTGAGATAGATAAAGAAAGATGTGAAGAGTATTTAATAAAATATGGAGAGTTTCAGTTACAAACAAATATAAATATTTACTTTTATTTATCTACAGACAAAAGATAACAGAAAATTAATCTGAAGAATATCAATAGAATTAGAGCCTCTTTGAAGCATTTAAAATCAAGTTCTTTAAGTTGTTAGACAAGGGGATTTGAACAATTGCAAAAATAGTAATTTGATGGTTATAAGATTTGAAATCACTTAGTTTGTCCATTAGAGCCTACTTCTTCAAGATTCAAGCATATAAAAAGACCAGCTGGGACACCCAGCCTTGTGGTACTGAGTAACTACTAAATTCTTTAATTTTCTGTTCTCAGCTAGCCATTGTTGGATTAGTTGGACTTCAGCCTGTAAATCATAACAATAAATTCTTTAGAAGAGAGAGAGAGAGAGAGAGAGAGAGAGAGAGAGAGAGAGAGAGAGATTCATTTTATTTGTTCTGTGACTCTAGAAAATCCTCACTATTAGTGTGAGTTTGACTTGATCTATCAAGGTTAAAAGTTACCTACTTCAAAAATTAGAAGTCTATTACTTGGCAGTTTATCAAAATAAGAAAAAGACAGATTTTTTTAAAAAGAAACATATAGGTTGATGGGGAAGCCTTGTTAACCAATTATCTTTAAAAGGTGGGATCAAGTTAGAGTGTGGCTATCTCTGTGAGACCCAGAGAAAAATGGACACATGGCCCAGGTGTTCTCTCTCTGTGTGAATTTTTTTGTCACACAGCTGAGCTTAGACTTCTTGTTCCAGTTTCGTGAGTTTTGCCCTTATAATAAATAAAAATATAATTGTTTATCTTTTAGCTAGCATGGTTATTTCCCGAATCGAGTTAACTTCTTCCGTGTTGGTCGATTTGTGGGGCTTGGGTCTCCAGTGATTCTAGCCAGCTGCCATTAGGCTCCACGCCATTCATTTGGGTATACAATTCCTACACAGCCGCACTGAGTAGCTGCTAGATGCAGTCTTTCATATTTTCTCATTAAATGTCTCAGCTGGCTTCTGGGTTTATTTTCTCAGTGCTCATGGATGCTCAGGCGGGACACAGGCTTCCTCTATTGTCTTGTTTGGCATTTGTGCTCGTGCAGCCGTTGACCAATTAGGGACCTCCGTGGAGCACACAGTCTGTGGTTTACACTAAATAACAGGTTTTAATCTGAGCATAGCTTTCAGCTTTTAACGCTAAAATTCAGATTCAAACTGACCATGAGGCTGCACGTGTGCCACAACACCTACTGGCAGGTAACACTTATTATAGCTACTTCAACTAAAACTCAACCACAGTTAAGATTTATAATTTAAAATATAAATTATAAATGTATAATTTAAAAGGCAAGATGGTGGACACTTTAACCATCCAGGAGTTCAATAACCTTTTTACTTATAGCATGTATGATGTTATGCAAGGTTTAT